AATATTTATTAACCCACTATTATAGGTAAGGCATTTTGTTAAAATATTTTACAAAATGAAGTCTTTGGGAGGCTTTGATCCACTTAGAATAAATTAGAGATAAAACTGAAACATGTTAGCAATGTTACTGAGAATTCTTGGTACCAGATAAGCATCTCTATGTTTGCTTTCCATATCATAGATTTTAATTTATTTTCCAACTAATAGATTTTTAATCATTTCAAAAATCTAGAAAAACAGATAAAGTGCATTTTAAGATTATCCAGAATTTCACATTCTGGTGATAAATAGTATTGAGTTCATTTTATAGCTTTCAGTCTTTTCCCCATACTTAAAATGTTGGCTCAGAAGGATGCTGTGTCTGTCACCAGAGTCCCTTGGTATGTTACAGTGCAGAACGCAGTCATAGGAAATGGAAACAGATAAAAAGGAAGCGAGACTGTAGTCCCACAAGCCTATTCTCACCTTTGTTGTTTGTACTTTTGGTGCCATATCTAAGACCTCATTGCCAAGACCTCTCTTTTTTCTGCTAAGAATTTTGTAGAGTCAGGTCTTACATGTACGTCTTTAATTCAGTTTGAGTTGGGTTTTGCGTATGGTGTAAGATAAGGGTCCAGTTTCAATCTCTTACACGTAGATATCCAGTTTCCCCAGCACTGTTGTTGAGACCGTTCTTTCCCCATTGTGTTTTCTTGGCACCCTTGTGAAAAATCACTTGACCATTGATCTATATGTGTTTTTATTCTGATACCATTCTGTTTTAATTACTATAGCTTTGTAACACGTTTTGAAATCAGGAAGTGCGATGCCTCCATCTTTATTCTTTCTCAGAGTTGCTTTGGCTATTTCAGGTCTTGTGTAATTCCATATGAATTTTAGAATCCTTTTTTTGGTTTCTGTAGAAAAAAAAAAAGGGGGGCACTTTGATTTTGATAGGGATCGCATGAATCTGTAGCTCTCTTTGGGTGCTGTGAACACTTTAACAGTAGTGGTCGTCCAATCCATGAACATGGAGTGTCTTTCCATTATTAACCAGTCACAGAAGGACAAATACTAAATGATTCCATTTATATGAGATATCTAAAATTGTGAAACTCAGAAACGGAGAGTAGAATGGTGGTGGCCAGGGGCTGGGGAAAGGGGATATGAAGCTATCAAGGTTCAATGGGTTCGAAGTTTCAGTGATAAAAGATGAGTGAGCTCTACAGATCTGCTGTACAACTTTGTGCTGTGGTTAGCAGTATTGTATTGTGCACTTAAAATTTTGTTAAGAGGGCAGATCTCATGTTAAGTGTCATTTTTTTTTTTGAAAAGAACACCCTTGAATGATTAACATAGGAAAGGGCATTGAAAGAATAAAATAGATATGGGATATGAAAGAAAAGGTGAAAAGAAAATGTAATAAGAGAGTTTGGGTAATATGGAAAGAGGGATGATAACGCAGTGATTATCAGCTGTGGGGTATGTGTGTATTTGAGGGAGAAGGGAGGAGGGGGGCAGAGAGAGAGAGAATGGCAACAGAAGAAACTTTAAGAAATGTGTGCCAAGTATGCAACTATAAAGAATTAAATTGCTTTTCAAATTCTTGGAGGATGTCACACTGCTATTTATTCGAATGAAGAAAACCAATAGGTGATTCAGCTTCATACAAATAATATTTACGTATTTTCATATTATATCTGTGGGATTTCTGCCTAGCTATATTCATTCCCCTTTTCCCAGTGATAATATCAACTCCCCAAACCTAGGATCTCCTGGCAGCCACATTTGTCTGACACAAGTCTAGTCCTCTAGCTATACTTAATTAATGTTATATTGTTCATATATTCTCAGCCCCAAGTCTTTCCATGAATTTAGAATTGGAATTTACAAAATTTCAGGTAGTTCCCAGATATAGCTGGACTGTAATATATAAAGATGGGAGTCCCAGGATAGACATAATTCATCACATGGATCACGGAATAAAGCATACAGGAGAGAAAGATGAGCAATAACGAATGCTGGGAAATTTTTAATATGCTGTTTTCTAAGAAGTTTGTCCAAAGAAGTAGTCTTGAAATCCTTGAGACATCTTTTTTATTTTTGTTATAAATTCCTTTTGCTTTGGCTAGATCAAGTTGGCTTCTTCCCTTTGCAGTCAAACACATGCACACACATGCGCATGCACACATACACACATTCAGTAACCTGCTATTTCTCATTTCATAATCAAAAATATTTTTCACATTAATAAATATAGCTTTACCACATCTACATAAATTACTGCATAGTTTTGTATTAATAAATGCCCCATAGTTTATTTAAACAGTCCCTATTTTTATACAACATTTGCTCTCAAAAAACAATCCTCACACATATATCTTTGAATACTTATTTGATCATTTTCTCAGGATAGGTTTATAACAGCATGCATGCTGAGTCAAAGAGTAGGTACTTCTTTTAAGACTCTTGAGACACGTTGACAAATTGTCCAAAATATATATAAAATTCATGAAAAATTCTATAAAGATTTAAAATTGTCAGTAAGAGGGGAAACAAGTATCTTGTTTAAGTATAAATGGGGTCAAGTATATGGTGATGGAAATTTGACTTTGGGTGATGAACACACAATGCAATATACAGATGATGTATAATTGAATTGTATGCTTGAAACCTATATAATTTTATTAACCAATGTCACCCCAATACATTTAATTAAAAAAAAATTTTGTAAATAAGGGTAGTTTTTTGATCCCTAGAGTAGTAGAATATTTACTTACATATTGGTAATTTTATTTCTTACTTTGTTATTTTTATATGTGTGTATTCTTAACTCATTTTATAAGGTTATATGGTTTTTCTTCACTGATTTGTAAAATATTTGTAATATAAAAATAGTAGATCTTTGCTTTAGCGTGTGTGTTACACATATATTTCCCTTTGTTATTTAATGTTTAATTTTTTGTATGGTGGATTTATGGCCATTTTCTTTTATATTTTTCTGAATTTATTATATTGCAATCTTTATATTCTATGTTTCTTTTGGAATTATGCTTACAAATTCTTCTGCATTCCAAGGTTATATAACCATTAGTTGGTTCTCTTAGTTTTTTCAGAGAAATAATCATATGATCATCTCTGTGCTATGACATTAAACTTTCTTTGTTGTTTCTTTTTCCCCTTTTCTTCCTTCCTTCCTGCTTGTCTGCCTACCTGGCTCCTTTTTTCTTTGTCTAATTACATTGCATTGACTAGAATTTCCAGAACAATAGTAAAAAAGTTAAGATAGATAGTAGGCATCATGTGTCTTGTTCCAGACTCCAGTGGAAAAGCATCTGGTGTTTTTCTGTTGAGTAAGATGTTTAGCAATTGGAAACTGGGTGGGTGCAATTATAATGAATAGTAAGGTTGGAGAGGCAGTTAAGTGGGCCTGATCCATAGAGCGTTATGGAGATGGGTTAGAAGAACATAGCACCCCTAGAAGTAAAATGGGTGGGCAGCCAACATGCTATTACTCAATCTGTACGATCAAAAGAAAGTGTGGAAGTTGAAGGCAGTTGCCCCAATTAAAAAAAAAAAATGCAAGAGACTCTGAATAGCCAAAGAAGCCTTGAGAAAGATCAAAGTGGGAGGTATCACAGTCCCCAATTTCAAACTGTACTACAGAGCTACAGCAATCCGAACACGGTACTGGCATAAAAACAGACACATAGATCAGTGGGACAGAATAGAAAACCCAGATATAAATCCTTACTTACATGGTCAATTAATCTGTGACAAAGGAGGCAACAATATACAATGGGGTAAAGATGGGCTCTTCAATAAATGTTGGGAAAAATGGAAAGATACATGCAAAAACATGAAATTGGACCACTTTCTTACACCACATATAAAAATAAATTCAAAATGGATTAAAAACTTAAATGTTAGACCTGAAACCATAAAACTGCTAGAAGAAAACATAGGTAGTAAACTCTTAGACATCACTCTTAGCAATATTTTTTTGGATATGTCTTTTGGTCAAAGGCAGCAAAAGAGAAAATAAAGGAAAGGAAAGCAAAGGAAACCATCAACAAAGTGGAAAAAATGAATGGGAGAAATTCTCAAATGGTACTTCCAGTAAGGGGTTATCCAAACTATATAAGGAACTGATACATGTTAACACCAAAAAACACCAAACAATTCTGTTTAAAAATGGCAGAGGACCCGAACAGACATTTATCCCAAGAGGGCATACTGATGGCCAACAGACATTAAAAGATGCTCAACATCACCAATCATCAGGGAAATGCAAATCAAAACCACGACGGGGTAGCACTTCACAACTGTCAGAATGACTGCCATAAAAAAAATCAACAAATAAAAAGTATTGGTGAGGATGTGCAGGAAAGGGAACCCTCGTACACTGTTGTTAAGGTTGTAAATTGGTGCAGCCACTTGTGGAAAACAATATGGAGATTCTTCAAAACATTAGAAATAAAGTTGCCACATGACCCAGCAGTACCACTTCTGTGTATTTATCTGAATAAATACGATTTAATAAAAATGACATCTGTGGTATTCTGTACACTGCCTTTGTCCTCTAAAGTTAGTCTAGGATCCAATACTTTCAGTGCAATTTTTGAAAATTTATCATAATCGTGAAGTGGGGATTGTTATAGAATTGTATGATAAGAATCAATGAGAATAAATCTGAAAATGAATTTGAACCATAGACATATGCTAATAAATGAGAATTACATATTAAAACTTATAGTAAAAATGATTAAAGACTATCTCTTAGTTTATGAATAAAACGAAACAAAAAGTGTCCAGAGTGTTGATGATGTTATATAGCCCCTGACTTGGGTTTCCGCTCCCAAATTAATTATATTTTGTCTGAACTGAACTGAATTTTATATCTATTGATCTGCTCATCTAATTGATGCAAAGGATTTTAAATGTTTGTTTCATTTATTGATATTTGCGATTTTTACTATGGCTAAGAAACTGTATCATTTTCAGTTTTTTCTTTCCCACAGATCATCCATGTCAACCACATAGGACTAATAAGCTTAGAAGAGCTGGCTGTTCCAGAAATCACTGAGGAGAATCACCAGAAGCCTCTAAGAAATCTCTCTGTGGGTGAGTTCCAACTTCCTGTTACCGTCTTCTGCGAACATGCTGCAACTCTGACGGCCACCCTTGAGGAAACAGCTTAGCCAGTTTACATAGTGAATCAAAGGCAGAACCAGAAAAGCAGTGGAGCTTGGTGTTATCCTCTATCTATTCCCCATATGCCAGTGCATGTGGAGTTACACATTCTAAGCCGACCCTGCACGATTTGCTGCAGCATGAAAAGGTTCTCCACAGTGGCGTAATTTCTGGGAATACTGAACTACAAACAAATCTCTTGACAGAACTGTGACCAATGCAATAGCACCTGTCAAGGAAAACAAACAAATAGGCATTGAATATTGTCTTGCTTTTCTCAGTATTAAAAAAAAAAAACAACAGTATTTTTACAAATTTAAAGGATTGGTATTTTGAAAATTATAAAATTAAAATGAGAACTTGTGATGATCTAAAATATTAAAGCACATATTTATCCTGTAGATATCAGAATATATAGCTACCTATTTTATATTGCATTTTTGGTCATTCATAGCTTTGTAAACAAAATAGCATACATACGTCCTGCAGTTTCTAGAAGTACGATATCCATTAGAAGAATCCAGCCAATTTTGTTCTGCAACATAATTTTAACAATATAATTTTTTTTTAACAAAAGAAACCCTAAAATGAAAGTTATTTATGGCGCAAAAGCAATGACAGAAGCCTCTAGAAAAGGTGACAGGCTTATAGATACGTCTACTCCAAATGACCACCTTTTACAAAATCCGAACTATAATACAATGGCACCACCTGTTGATGGAATGGCAGAATTGAAATCCTAAAATTACAAACAACAAAATATTAACTATTCATTGGAATTATAAATCAAGATATAGAACGTAATTCATTGATCATTGATTACATGACATCAGCAAGATGGTTAGATGGTATTAATTTGCTTATGTCAATTGCTTCTTCAAGTTTCTGGCATTTCATGGAATAGCACAGCATTTCTTTAAAGATTAATCATTGCTCAAACATAAGAAAATATATGTAATTAAGATTAGCTTTTCTTATATGTATTTAAAAGTAAATTTTAGAAGAAACATATTGTAAGATTGATTTTCTTTGTATAACACATAGTCCCATTGCGTTGAGCATTAGTGGTCTGCAGAACACAGTGTGGGGACTCTAAACTCCTTTTTCTGAAAATATGCTGGATTGGATAATATCCAGTAAATATTTTGAAATAACTTTCATAAGATGGAAAACATACTCTCAGGTGCAAACTTATACTTACAAGAAAGTAAGAGAGATTCTCATAGACTAAACCTGAAAAAGAATCCCAAAAGTAGAGTGATAAGCCAGTGAATATCCTACACTGTCCTGGAGGAAAGCGTATGTGTGCCGGGGGTAGGGGTTGCTGTCACGCTTCCTGGGTTTTAAGGCATTGAATCAAAAGACAGTAACTTGAACTTGTGCGATGTCAGTGGTTGAAACAGACTTTCTAATAGCTATACCTTTAGGAAACGTACAGAATAAAGAAAAGCACACCCACCAGCTCAGGAAAATGACAAAGAAGCTTGCCTGTCTCAACATGGTATCTAGATAGATCAATAAAAACTCAGGTTTGAGAATTTATATATATTATTATATGTTATTGACATATAATATTATGTTTCAGGTGTACAACATAGTGATTAGAAATTTATCTAACTTATGAAGTGATTACCCCGATAAGTCTAGTACCCATCTGACACCATGTATAGTTATTACAATATTTTTGACTATTTTCCTTGTGCTGTACTTTACATCCCCATGACTATTTTATAACTACCGATATGTACTTCTTAATCCCTTCCCCTTTTTCACCCATCCTCCTAACCCTTCTCCCATCTGGCAACCATCAGTTTGTTCTCTGTATCTATGAATTTCTTTCTGTTTTGTTTATTCATTTTGTTTCTAGGTTCCACGTATAAGTGAAATCATATGGTATTTGTCTTTGACTAATTTCACTTAGCAAAATACCCTCTAGGTCCGTCCATGTTGCGGAAAAGTGGCAAGATTTCATTCTTTTTATGGCTGACTGACTGTATATATGTACCACCTGTTCTTTTATCCAGTCATCTGTATAGATTGTATGTGCTCTCGTTATATAGTTAGGCCTTGATTTCTGGGTGGGGTTGACCCTCCGGCTGACTAGTTGTGATGGCTTACCACGAATACAGTAGACGAGCTGTCATGCAGGCGAACTGACCCCATGGTTAGGGAGTCACTTTAGCTGAGTGCTGGTGCCAGCCAAGTTCACCCTTCGGGTGTGTTGTATGTCAAGCTGGTTGGGTGGTGCTCTGGTGTGGTCTGAAGCTGGTCACTGGGTGTATTGGGTCTGAGACCTCTAGGGAGGTGTATCATGCTGGCCAAGGTCATCACCATGTATCATGCTTGGGATTTCTCCTTTGGAGCTACAAAGTGTTCTGCAGTTGGTTGCTGCTTACACTGGGCTTGGAGCCTCCTGGGAGAAGCTAGCTGCAAACCAAGGCCAGCCTCCACTTGTGAATGTCTGGAACCCTTTGGTGGGCACTAGAATGTAAGCTGAGGCCAGCCATCACATGTGCTGGGCTTGTGGACCTTTGAAACGTTTGGGGAAAGTCCACAGTGCAAGCCAATGCAGGCTGCTTGTGTGGATGAGCTACGAAGAGGCTCCAGCTGGGTAGGCAAGTTGAGTGGGGCAGGGTCTCAGGGATTCCTGAGGGCAAGTTAACGGTCTTAGCCAGGTTAATGTAGAGCCCAGATTTGATGCCCACATGCGGATTAGAGGAGAGTTCAGCAAAAGAGCAAAGGTGCCTGCCAGTGCTTCCATCCCTTGAGGGAGTTTCCCCAATCCCTGCCCCTTCAACCCTCGCCCTGTAGTCAGTCAATTTAGTTCCTGCCGTATGTCCCTGGTGCTTTTCAAGCTGCTTCCCCTATGCTGGAGTGTAGAGTGAGTATATTTGTGAGCCCCATAAGACTTGCAGTGCTTGGGTCTCTGGCAGCCCTTTGTCTCTCTGGGACACAATCCCTGCTGGTGTTCACAGCACTGATGCCCCAAGTTGGGGGGCCAGAGATGGGAGCTCTCACTCCTCAGGGGGAAACTGTGCAGCTGAGATATCCCTCCTGATTCTTATTCATCATATCGTAGGTGTGAGCACTGCCCACTCTGTGTCTCTGCCCCTCCTACCAGCCTCTATGTGGCTTCTTCTTTCTATGCTGAGTTATAGCAATTTTGTTCAGCTAATCTTGAGGCAGTTCTCAATGATGGTTCTATAATTTAGTTGTAATTTTGATGTGGTCATTGGAGGCTGCAAGTACAAGGCCAATGTGCCTTCAGGGTTGGTTAATGGTGAGACCTCTCTTTCTGCCTTATAGATAGCCACCTTCCTATTGTGTCCTCAAATGGCCTTTTCTTGTTTGCACATGAAGTGAGAGAACTGTGGTATCTCTTCCTTTTCTTAAAAAGACACCAGTTCTCTTGAATTAGGGCCCCATATTTATAGCCTCATTTAACCTTAGTTACCTCTTTAAAGGCCTTGTCTCCAAATATAGTCACATTGGCAGTTAGGGCTTCAACATAGAGGTTTAAAGAGGAAACAATTCAGTGTATGGCATCCTCCTTAACTCTACATTCCTGATTCATCTCTGCCTAGTGACACAAATGCCAGGCTCCTGCCACAGTAGTATTTCATGCTAAAAGGCACATCCTCTCTTTCTTCTCCAGTCACAGTTCTGTCTAGTTCAAAGTTCTCTGAAGCTCTCTCCATTTCAAATTCAGAAGTAACCCATCCTTCATCTTTGCTCCTATAGTACTTCGTTCAAACCATTAGTACAGCTAATGTAAGAAGTGTTTTACAATGTGCATATTTCTTTTACAGTTTTCCTGTTAAATCCCATAATCATTATATGATGTAATTATTATCAATATGCTTATTTTAGGGATGTGACACTTGAGCCTCAAAGAGGTTGTTTATTCTATAGAAATTGGGAACATTAAGAAATGTGCTTTTCTTTGGATTATGGTATCATTCACTGATTATGAAACATTGAAAGAGGAGCAGATTTTATGGGAAAAGATGTTTAATGTGCCTGTGACATATCCAAATGTACATATATTACATACCTGTTTAATATAGCCAGTCTTAGACCAATAAAATAGGGCTTCATCACCCATGGGCCATGGACAGGTACGGGGTCCGTGGCCTGTTAGAAACTGGGCCGCACAGCAGGAGGTGAGCGGCAGGCGAGTAAGCTGAGCTTCATCTATATTTGCAGCCACTCCCCAGCGCTAGCATCACCGCCTCAGCTGCACCTCAGACCATCAGGCAGTAGATTCTTATAGGAGCACTGGTACGTGGTGCCAAAAAGTTTGGGGACCACTGAATATACAAGTTGTGACTTGATCTTCTCATTTCGTAATATTAGCACAAGTAAGTGATAAGTGTCAAATAACTTCTTATTTTATGTGTTAATAATAATACTAAATTGTTTGCTTACTCTAATATACTTACTCAATATTCTTCTTCTCACTCTTTTCATATATTTTAACTTCTAAACAGCCAAGTTTTAGTATCAGAAGTGGACAAGATCTGAAGTGAATGAGATCTTAAGAGAGTATATAAATTTAGTTCTCTTCATTAATAGATGAAGAAAGCTCAATAAAGCTAATTAAGTAACTCATCCACAGTCACAGTACCCAAATAAGAAGTAACATTCACATCTTCTAATTCTAAGCAAAATTTATTCCATTATGCCAGTGATTCCCAAACATTATTTTGCAGAACATAAACTATATGAGAAGCTCCATGAATGGAATAATTCAAATGCATCTTTTAACTCTGTATATAAACCCCTCTCTTGGAGAGTTGCAATGAACAACTTGTTTAACTTTAACCCAGCATTTAGTGGTAGAACACCTTTCTCAACATACAAATATGATTCAGGCACTTTGAACAATTCTTTTTAACTACCACAAAGGTTGCTGAAGTTGGAAATAAACTATA